TTTTTTTAAAGCAAATGCATCTTAAGAGTTATACTTACGTTTGCTTCCGATTTCCCAGCTGACTCCAAACTTCAACTACAAAACCATCAAAATTTTCTTTCTAAAAAAATCCAAGAGTTAATCACCACGCTCACTTTGTTACACTGGTATCAAAGATAATACATTAAAGAAGCACACAATTACTTTACTTTCTTGCAGTATTTAGATTAAACATGTTTATGCTATTGCACAGCTTTATCTTTACTTTTATGCAGTATTTCAGGAAGAAGTCGAAGTATTCAAGAAATATGCAAATTTAAAATTAATTTCCATTAGTTGTCCTTGACTTCTCCTCTCACAGGATAAGCTAGTATCAGATACAGAAAAAATAGCTATTAATGAAAGCTGGTTTTTAAGCAAGGCACATGGCATAGATTTATATACACACGCATAGGGAAGCAACTCATCAGGAATTCAGTCTAAAAATGTAAATACTAACTTTGGAATGCAGAAACACCATAGGATTGATTTCAATCATTTCACACAACTAATCTTTCTTGGGACAGCCAATGTTTAGCACAATCAAGGATACTGTTGGACCAGAGGATCCATTTTTTAAGAGGCCAACTGCTACACAGAAGACCTAAAATTGATGTAGTAAATTTGAATGTTAAGAAAGGATTCAGTTGATCTGTTCACCCACTTGCTCTGCAATATTAAGTTTTCTTTACATCCTGTAACAAGTGAGAACACTTACTATAATAGTAATTAGGAAAGATTTCATGAACCAATCACTGAGGTTAAATGTCTTCTGGGCACAAATTGCCTAGATCTTTACATACATAGTTCTAAAGTCTTTAAGGAGCTCCCCAGAACACCTGGGCAAAAAAACAACCATTCCTTAAAGGAAACTTTCTTTCTCTCTGCCACAGCCTCTTAACATTTTAAAGAAATTTGATTATCTGAGCAAAGTGCGCAGTAACAAGTACCCAATGATTTGTATTTGTTACTAAAATTGGCTCACTAAGCCCAGCATATTGAGCCTAAAGTTATTCCTGCAGTACAAGGACACAGCACTCACTGCACCAGTGACCTTTTGTCAGCTTACCAAAAAAAAAAAAAAAAAACCGAAAAACAACAACAAAACTAAAACAAAATAGTCCATACTTAAATTTTTTAAAAGGAAGAAAGGAAAGTCTGACCTCCATAAGAAGTTTCAGGTATCCACTATTGTCTCAGTGATGCTTAATCTGTGAGCTAACACAAGTTTAATCAGCCATTCTTTATAACTGACAAAAGTAATTAGTACAGCAGAACATAATATCTTAGTAAGGCTATGCTGATAAATTTACATGGCTTCATTTAAGATGGATAAGTTACTTTAGGTGGATGGTTATACTGGAGTATTTTTACACTTCATATTTATAGGAACTGTATATATTCTGGAATACAATATGAATTATCCTGCATCAAATTTAGTTTTGATTAATACAAAAACACTGCAAGTCGGAATACCTACTTTACAAAAGAAACCAATAATTAACCTACAGTGTTTTAAAAGCATTTGTTAAGTCTTGTTACCTTGGCTAGCAGAACCATATTACTGGAAAGCTCTTCTATCTCATCCTCACTGGCAAAAACACTTTCAAAGTCTTGGTAAGTCCAGCCATCAAACAAAATTCGAGGCACTGTCAAGCAGAGAAATTAATCAGTACTGAAAATTAAGAATTTGTTCTCTGCTGTAAAATATCTGACATCTAAGATCACTGCTCTTTAACCAACACAATCAGAGTAGATAAATTGACACTGTAAAAACTTCTATCCTCATTCTGTTTTAAGGTTAAAGGTCAGCACTAGTGCGAGGTTTAAAGAGAGATGCATTCAATTAAGAACTATCACTTCACCCTAAGTAAAATTTCAAAAGATCACCAACTTGAAACAGCAACTCTCTTGTAAGCTGAGAATCTCTCCCACCACAGCAGCAAGGTAGAAAAGTCCACCTCAAACTAATTTACTCTCTTGAATGCAATCCTATTATATATGTCACTCTTGCTCAACTCAAGAGCCTATGAGAAATTCTTATTTTGGAAACATAGGCATTTGAACTGACACTACATTTTTTAACTTTTTAAATGTGTTATTAGAAAACAAAACAGTTGTCAATTAAAGATCAGGAGAGCTGCTGCTGAAATGGTCAGTCATGCACACTGGAAATGCAAAGAACCCACATGGAGCTATACCTTTGTCTTTAAGCAATAAGGGAATAAACTACTATTTTATTCTAAAGATATTTCCAAGACTATCACCTGGCAGATGGAGTCATTTTAAGTTTCTGACAGAGCATTACATTTTTTTAAAATCTACTTCTTTCTGTTGTAGAAGAATGTCTGAAACTTGAAGAGTTTTGCTGATTTTAGAGTCCCACAAGACTCTAACCATAGACAACTGTAAAATATTTAGCACAGTATAATCCCTGAAGCAATATTTGCCATTTCCCTGAAGACACACACTGTGGCAAATCCCTTGAGTTCTCAGCTTCTAAGGGAGACAGGGGCTAAAAGAAGGAAAGGGAGGACTCCTCTGTACTATCATGACAGAAAGTCTTATTGACTCAGATTTGCAAGCCCCTAATCTCCCTTTCCCTATATACTCCTAGAACAAAACCTTCTCTCAAACTCCTAATGGCTGAACACCAAACAAATAACATACTGACCTATTTTGCTGTTTTTGGAGTTTTTTCTGACATCTTTCATCCAGCCTGTCAAACAGTATCAAGAAATATAACGGCTATTAAAATATGAACGATGATGTCAATGACAATTTTCAAGCATTCTTCAAATAATGTAGCATACTTATATCTTTCTGCCACAGATAACTAGTCCATAAGCAGTGCAGTGGAAAATAGTTTGATACTCAGAAAATAAGACTATTAACCCTCACACCTCAGTCAAGACCAGAATTTATGATAGTCTTATAAGTGTTTCCCTTCCCTGTTCCTCCCTCCCAACACTATTTAGGGTTCTACATCATCACAGAAATTAGGCTACCACTTATTAAGAAAAACACTTTGGTACTCACTAAGCACCCCTTAGGAGGGTTTTTTTTTATTATTATTTCCTTTTAAGTTCAAGTGGCTAGTTTTAACTCATTTTGTGAATTTGTAAGCACCAGCATGATGAAAGTTAGAGTTGTTTTGTTTTAGATGCCACACCAACATTTCAATCAAGATCAAAAAACATAAGCCACTTAGCTAGTATTTAAAAGCATACAACCCAAAATCTAAACTGACGGGAAATTTCTGGATATAGCCATAGAATTAAATATATATATAGGAAAAATATTTTTTAAAAAAATCACATACATCTTTCACACCCAAAATATGCACCTATGTGAACGCAAGCGAGGGCAGAAAGAGTTGACTCTGAAAGAAAAACTTACCATAAAATTAATAGCAGAAAGTACTTCACTACAAGTCAGAGGGGGGAAAAGAAAGTCCATATGTGTATATTGTCAGAACTACCCATCAATCTACAGGACCAGTAGTCTTACTTGCAAAACATATACAAAGAGAAAGAAAATAAAACCTTGGTCAGCATCATGAAGCCCAGTGAACTGGAACCTTTCCTTCCCTCTCCTTTTCACCTGTAGCCAAACTGGTGAGATTAGCGTAAATTTATTTCCGAATATTTTAGCAATGTCATAGCCATGGCTGTTCCACTTGCAAAAGAAAGAAAAGAAAAGTGAGTCACACAAGCAAAATATATAGTCCATTTTACTGTTTTATTAATAATGCAAACATAATCATTTGCGAGCTCCTCACTTGTTAGTTTGAGAAAGCCTTCCAGGATATTATTTTCTGTTGATTAAGAAAGGCACTCTGAAATTCCCTGGTATCTGCATAAATGGCAGCTCGTCAAATTGTGTAAATCCACCCAAACTACAAGAATCTGCAGTTAGATTCCAACAGAGCTTTCAATTAACACACACTTCATTTATGTTCAAGAGAACTTGAAAAGAGTGAGCTTAATAGGATACTTCTTTCTCATATACTGAATAGTGTTAAGAACGAAACAAGTGAGAAGCATCCTCTACACAAAAAGAGGGAACATTTATTATTCAAGAGAAGATGCTCTGAATAATAATAAGACTCAATAGTAAAAGATCTATTTGATAGTAGTATACTAAGTTTTACTGTTTATTTAGAAGCTTCAGATTGATAGCTGAATAGTATAAGGACATTGCAACACTTCTGGTCTGACTTTACTACAACTTCATGTGACTCAGCAAGGAAATATCATCTCCACTTTAACCAGCAAGAAGCACAACATGACTTGGACTTCTATAAGAAGCAGGCAAAACCTGAACGCCAAACCAGCCTCTGAAATAATCCTCTATTTCACTATAGACAAGAAGGTCCAAGTACTTTTATATCACTGACAGAAAACTACGGATTAGCACAGCCTACTGCATATTCATTCCAAGTTCCATTTTTAATAGTTTTACTCTTTATTAACTTACAGGAGTAATATAGCCCAGAACATCTCCTGAAAAGTGCCTTTCCTTTATCTCCTTGAAGCAGTAGCTTTTGTGTTCCAGTATAATATCTTTTGCCTTTGGATCAACAACTACCAGTCCCCGATTCTGTACAATATTATCAGAATGTAGTGTCTGAAAAGAAAAAACAGTTTTGAGAACAGCTATGTTAAATAACTACTGCCAAGAACAAAAGAGGAGGAAAACAAAACCAAACAAACAAACAAACACACATGCACATTAAACTCCAAACACTTTATTTAAACAGAGCAGTTTGATTTAAAAGTGAAACAAGAAAGAGTTCGGAAATGATTTGTCATCGTGAGTAAAATTATTTTGCAAGGGAAAAAAGCATATAAACAACAAAAACACAAGTAACAAAATTAAAAAATGAAACAAACAAAAAAACAGAACCACTCCTGGAGTTGGTCACACCTGGACATTCTCACTTTCTAAATTCTGATAGAGGACAAAAACATGAAAATGATGCAACAGCAAGAAGAAATAAAATCTCAAGTTATTAATGGACAGTTCTGCAAGTCCATACCAAGCTTACAAGACATTGTCATCTTAAATTTTAGAAATGATTCAAGGTTGAACTGCATATAACACCCAATTGATACCCTTACTCTTTTGGGACTACATAAGCCTACATTATGCATGGCAGTAATTTTCCAGTCTTGCTAAAAAACACAGCCACTTAGTCTCAGTAGCTGTAAGTTCTACAGTACCTGCAGAGAAGCTAGCTGTTGAAATCAGTTTAAAGTGCCTCTGTGCTCATCTCTGCTCTCTAATAACTGCTGAAATATTAACTCCTAATATTAAAAAGGGAGCTTGGGATTATTAATCAACATTTTAAGAAGTCTTTTAAAGTGGAGATACTTTTTCTCAAGTATGCAGCTTCATAACTTCTAAAGGCAGTAGTCCACGGCATCTTCCTTTACAGGAGATCTCCTTGAACTACAACACCATAGACAATGTTAGCAGACAAGAGCAAAGATTTAAAAGGCCTCACAGTATGTGTTCAGTGACTGTGCAGAATCTATCAGTTCAGCTAAGGACACATGAGAATGGAAAAATATCTCCTTCAGCTGCACACACAAGGGACAAATTCCTACTTTTTCAGCTTGCATATGGGATGAAAGCTCCAGAATTCTAGACTTCCTTGGTTCAAGAAATGAAACAGTTGTGACACTCAGTAAAGTTAAAGAAATTGGTGGTTTCCAATAGTTTTCTCTGGGAACATAAGCTTCAGTAGAAGTTCATAGTCACATTATATTGAGAGAATGACAACCACTTCAGCATCTCTCAAAGCTTGAATAGTTCATTGAATATGCTTATAGGTGAGTATTTCAGTTATTTCCCTTACCTTTTCCTCCATTTTTTTTGAAGCACCTTTCTTTGCATCTGTCTTGGACAAGGTACCTTCAGCTAGCCAACAAACCATGGCAAGAAAAAATAGGGTTAAGAGAAGCCTCATCTCAGCTTTTCCCCTATCAGGTTCCTCCTGTCTTGAAAATGCAAGGATTCAACTCTCTGTGAACATAAGAACATAAGAACTTAAGAGAATTTCAGCTGTAGTGTTCAAGAAAAAAAAAAAATGTATATATATATATTTGTCCAACCTCATGCTCTCACACTTTAAAAAGGGTTCTGCCTTAGCACTGTTTTTTCTCTAGGGCCAAAGTCACACAGTAGTTTCAGAACTTCTTAGACCCCAGCTTAAACACCCTCTCTTGCACCTTTTTTTTAGTAGCCTGCTATGGAAAAAGGTGAGTAGGGAGGGGAGGGGTTAGCTTCACTTTTAAAGGGTTCCTAATTAAGTAGAAGGGTTCACAGCTGAAACAGATACATGTCTGCTGCCCACAATAATTAAGCTCAGCTCCATCTTTTCTATAGCAAATAAAAGATGTTGTTTGTTTCTGCTCCTGTCAAACCCAGCTAACAAGGCCCAAATCAATTAAGGGACAGAAAGGATTACAGCTGTAAGCTATAATGGCTTTACTTTCAATCCATTGCCAAATCAGTGATACACATAAAATTGGGGAGGGGAGGAGAAGGGAGGGAAGTGAAAGGAATAAAAGAGAAGGTCTTTTTGATATGTAAGAATGACTTTGGGAGTTTGTCCCAGCTCAAAATAAATTCCAAAATGGAAAAAAGTAACTTGTTTTTGATCCAGGAAATCCTCAGGATCACATTGGGACTAGCTTCCACCTACAACTGATAAATGGCTCTAGCCCACTTCTCATAATTCTGAGATCCTAATGGAGAAAAAAAAATAGCCTTTCCATAACTGCTTGAAATTTTCTGTCAAACGTATTGCCTTGTTCTTAAAATAACCTTGTTCTTCCTGTATTATTTTGGAGAAAAAAAAAAACTAAAAAACTACTCCTTTCATCACAAACCTTATGCACAAAATAATTTGAAGGATTCAGTCAAATCCCAAAAGTTGAAAAAAGAAGAAATGAAAAGCAGCAAGTCTTCCAATGCTCCTTGGATCCAGGAGGTGGGGTAAGATGTAAACTGCTATACCACTTGAATTTCACTGTTATCAATAATTAATGTCTTACCCTTCCCTTCTGTCCTCAAGGTGACTAGTTATTCCATTTTTTCTGTATCTTAAAAGATTACATAAAGCATTCTCCATTCCCTCTAGCCTGGCAGGCTTTATACACTACCACAGAGAAGAACAACTGGGAAGCTGGATAGTCAATACAAGACTTAAACAATTTGGACAGTGTATGAGTTCTTCCAGAAGCTGATATATATTGATCTGGGAGTGTTCGATTTCACTTTCGGAAACAATTAGCAACAGTGTTCACTTCCCTGTAGAGGAGTTACTGTTTAACAGCTTAGGCACATAAATTTAAAAATCACTCACTTGAACTCTAATTAGACATCAAATCGGTCTTATTTCCTTGACATGAACATATCCATCTGCCAATTATCACAGGTCAACATGCAAACCCGGATCTATAGAAAATGATGAGCCATTATCAATGGTTTTCGACAGTGGTAGTTCAAAACTGATTCTTAGTTGGAATCTTATTTCAATGATCTGTGCTTTAGCAATAGCAGTGTAGTACAACATAAAGAGACAGTTTTGCTCTGTTACATTGTGTTTCTACCACTGCAACACGTAAGTAGGATTAAATGGAATTCCGACTTTTTCTGTGGCCTTGTGCAACTGGAAAATTTAGGGTCTGGGGTTTTTTTTTTGTTTTTTGGAGAAACTGGCCTGAAATTGAGTTTTATGCCTAATTTAGGTCACACAATATTGCATAACCAAACTGAATCTCCACATGAGGTAATGTTCTTTTTACTCAGCTGCTTAAATATTTTTTTTATTATTTTAGAGAGAGAAGAAAGTAGGCATAGTCTTAGGCTGCCTAAAAGAAATTACTCGGTTTCATTGGTTGCTTCATGAAACCAGCAGCGTAAGTATATGGGAACCAGCATTAATGCTTATACTTTGTTTCTGAAGAAGAAAACAGCTTTATTACTGTGGAGGAATACTGAGCAAGATGGCAAGTACCATCTCACAGCACCAAGACTCACAGAAGCTAGATCCAGGAGTAAAAACAGACCTGTTTCTAGGCTAAACCTCACTGCCTTTGCCCAGGTGACATCACGACAGAAATAACCCCCACATTCCTTGGGCTTCTAGCTGCCCCGGCGCTTTAGGCCGCCCTTGCAGCCCGTGAAGCGGCTGGG